TCTGAGATTCTTTTCTCCACGTGGTGTATTCTTCTGTTAATACTTGTGATTGCATTATAAAATTATTGGAATGGGATTTTTAGTTCTATTACATCAGTTACACTCTTTTCTGTACTGGCTATTTTGTCTGTCAGCTCCTACATTGTTTTGTCATGATTTTTAGCTTCCTTGTATTAGGTTTCAACATATGCATGTAGCTCAATGATCTTAATTTCTATCCATATTCTAAATCTTATTTCTGTCATTTCAGTCATCTCAGCTTGGTTCAGAACCCTTCCTGGAGAGGCAACACAGTCGTTTGGAGGAAAGAAAGCAGTCCAGCTTTTGGAGCGTTCAGGGTTCTTGCACTGATTCTTTCTCATCTTTCTCGGTTTATCTACCTTCAATCTTTGAGGTTGCTGACCTTTGGATGGGCTTTTTTTCTCATTTATTGTATTTGATGGCCCTGAGAATTTGATTGTGGTAAAATGTGGATCCAGCCAACTGGTTTTGTGTCTGGAAGATTTTAGGGGGCCAGCACTCAACTCTCAAATCTTGGACTTGGTGCTCTCTGGGAGAATTGTACTGGACACCAGCTTCGTTTTCTGGCTCCTGGAGGTTTGGAATCAGATGGAGGAAGGCATGCATGCAGGCTGAGCTCGAGGTCTGTGTGAGACCTCCCACCCCCTACTCTGGAATCAGATGGAGGAAGGCATGCATGCAGGCTGAACTCAAGGTCAGTGTGAGACCTCCCACCCCCTGCTCTGGAATCAGATGGAGGAAGGCACGCATGCAGGTTGAGATTGAGGTCAGTGTGAGACCTCCCACCCCCTACTCTGGAATCAGATGGAGGAAGGCATGTGTGCAGGCTGAGCTCAAGGTGAGTGTGAGACCTCCCACCCCCTACTCTGGAATCAGATGGAGGAAGGCACGCATGCAGGTTGAGATTGAGGTCAGTGTGAGACCTCCCACCCCCTGCTCTGGAATCAGATGGAGGAAGGCATGTGTGCAGGCTGAGCTCGAGGTCAGTGTGAGACCTCCCACCCCCTGTTCTGGAATCAGATGGAGGAAGGCATGCATGCAGGCGGAGCTGGAGAGATGAGCTGGGCGTGGGCAGAACTGTCCTCCCATGACCCTAGACCTTAAGTGCTCCCACATGCTCTCAGGCATGTATCAAACCAAGAAAGCAGGCTAGGAGGGTAACACAGTTAAGTGTATACAGGGAGCTAAGAAATACTTGAGCTGAGCAAATGACACACAAGGAGACAGAAGCAGTATGACCTTTACACGGTGACCTGGCTCAAATGATTTCAGGCTCTCATTAACCAGGCGAGCTCCGCCTTCTCTCTGAGCTAAGTAAACCTGAGGGGTAAAGTGGGAGTTGGGGAAAATGGAAAAGAAAGCCTGGCAGTATTTCTTCTAACTCTGTTATAAATAAAAAGTAAAACATAAATGCCCTGTCTCAGGGCCCAAATGTTAGGTGAGAAAAGGTTTGTCATCTCAGTCACATGACATGGACTGTAGCAGAGCAGTACACACATGGTCATTATTCCTTTCCCTCTGCATGTTGTGTGCTGTCTCAGTTTTATAACGTACCTGCTCCACTTGTCTCATCACACTAGCTGCAAACAAGGCCACTGAATGTCACACCAGGTGGCCAGCGTGTCTGTGAAGGGCGGAAACTGCGGCAGCCAAACAGCTGGCAGAGGCCAGCTAGTACGTCCCCGATGCCCACTCCATAGAGGACTCCACACTTAAAAGACAAGGTAAGCACGTGTCCGGCTGCCTCACTAGTTATCCCCCCAAATGAAAAAATAAAAGTAACCCCTCCAGGGAACGTGTGTGTACACACAAAAGTACGTGCACACAGCTACATGCAAAGGAGAAAGACTGGGAAGGAACCAAATCCACCTCTGAACACCAGTTACTTGTGGGGAAAGGGCAGGTGAAGCCGCCTGTCAGCATTACTCACCTTTTCAACTGATGAGCTTGCATCAGTTTTGGCAATTTCTCATAAAAAGGCAATTTTCACTCCTTGGGTGATCACCCAGGTCCTGCAAAACTGAGCCACCAACAACCACCTGCACCACTTCCCATGAGGCCAAATAATGGCTTCCCTCAAAGCTCAGCCCTCCCACCCACCTCCCAGTCCTGTCCCATGCAGGGGGCTACCGGCCTCCTGGGGTACAGGGGTCCAGGCCAAACCCAAGCCACAGATGGTTGGTGAAACCAGCATGTATCCAAGGGCCTTCCCCCAACCTGGCCGTGTGCCCACTGCATAGATAGGCCTGGGCTCGCTCCCCTAGGACAGAGACTCCCTTTTCTTCGGCTGGAACGAGGGATGAGGAGATTCGATGGTGTCCTGCACAGGTTGGTTTCTTCGGCTGGAACGAGGGATGGGGAGATTCGATGGTGTCCTGTACAGGTTGGTTTCTTCGGCTGGAACGAGGGATGGGGAGATTTGATGGTGTCCTGTACAGGTTGGTTTCTTCAGTTGGAATGAGGGATGGGGAGATTCGATGGTGTCCTGTACAGGTTGGATGCTAATCTGATGAGGTGCTCTTGGAGAAGTTTGCCTGAGTTCCGCGCTTTCTCAGCACGTGGTGTGTGCTGCTCTTCAAGCTTCAGAAGTCCCAGAAGGAAAGTGCTTCTGCAACCCCCATTCACTGTTGAGCAGAGGTCAGGTGGTCTGCAGCTGGCCGAGCAGCTGCTAAGTGGCCAACAGGCTGGATCTGCCTCTCACTTGCGGATGCCCTGCCTGGCTGCTGGGGCTGCCCTGAGACTCCCTCCTCCTCCTCTTCCCTCCACAGCTTTCCCGGCTTCTGTCCACAGCGGTGCTCCAGGTGGGAAACACCTGTGGGTGCACCAGGGTGCAACTACTCAGACTCCAGCATGCAGAAGAGCCCCGGCTCCATGCTGTTTCCATATCCAAGCCCAAGCTCGTCTACAGCTTCAGCAAATCCAAGCCTCCCTGAATACCCTGCAAGACCAAACTGAGCCCTACAACCCCCACTACACTGGTTAGCTGCCAGTCCCAGCCCCTGCTCCCTCCTGGGCCCCTGCCTGTACAGTTCTGAAGTCCTACAAGAATGTCGAGAATCTAAGCCGACTCTCACCCAAAGAGGTAAACAACCAGGGGCCTCCAGGGGTAGAGAACATACCCAGACAGGTTCTGCTGCCTGTAGGCTTGATGTCCTTCCCCTACAACCCGCCATGCTTGCCGGGCTGGAAGAGGGGCTCCAGAAACTTGGGAAACCTGGGCCTGTAGCTGGCATGTGGAAAAGAGGCCTGGAAAAGCACCACTCCTGTTCATGAAGCCCCCAGATGGAACTAGGTAATTGGGAAATACATGGGCACCAAGCCTGACCCCCACTCAGACCCACGTGGGAACTGCAGCAGTGACTTGCCCCCTCTGCCACTCTGGCTGCACCACTACAGGAGGGAGGAGCATCTAGCCCCACGCGTGAGTGGAGACACTAGGTGTAGGCAGGTTCCAGTGGTTGCTGCAGCTGAACCTTCCAACCAGGTCCATGCAAGGCCATCTCAGATGTGTGCACACCTGGGTTGGGCAAGGACACCCCTCAGAGTGAGAGCCACTGAGCAGGGCTGTCACAGACGCCCCTTTTCCTGCTCCGAGAGCAGGTTGGGGGAGTCTGGGGGACCTCTCCCCCCTCCCAGTTGCTTCCAGGAGCCACTTCTTTCGAGATGAGGCACTCTCCTGCCTGCCCATTCCCATTTGGCTGCAATAGACCATTGCCAACATTCAGAGAACAAAAAGGGGCCTCACCTGTTTCCCCGACACGTCGGAGGCAGGTGGGTATGTCCAGGGGACCTGGGGTAGAACCTGAACATCTGTCCACCCCCAGGCCATGCTGGCTTCATCTTATCTGTGTGATGGGGGTGGGGGTGGGGGTGGGAATTACCAAGAGACCATCACACAGGCCATGGACAAGTTCTACAAGAGCCAGGTAGAGGAGCACCGTCCGTGCATGCTGCCCGGCACCCAGCTCACACACGTATCTCTTATTTGACAGCTTCCCCAAAGCAGGCTTTGAAGTCCGGGCTCCCCAAGAAGCCTGGGGAGGAGACTCTGCAGGCTAAAGGGCCTATCCCCAAAGGTGCCACCCTCACCAGTCTCATCCTGACAATCTTGGGTTATTTTTGCCCTGAAGTTTTGGAGGGGGGGACAGGGAGACACAGATAGTACGCATTAGCCACCTTTCCAGAGAGCACCAGCCCTCCAGACTGGGCAGGTCTGACCTCCACTCGGGCGTTTCTCTCACTGGCTGCCAGTTGGGGGAAGCAGCATTGTGAGCACCTGCCCGTCTCCCCAGGTCCTGTTCAGAAACCCCATCTGTGCCTCTGGAGAGACTGCCCCAAGCACACAGGCCCAGCAACTGCCATCTATGGCCCCCAGGACCTAATCCCCTTCTACATAGGGGTCAGTGCATGTGAGTATACGCTGGGTTTGATTTCTGCCCACTAGTACCTGCCAGATATCCCATGCCCACCTCAAGAGAATGAGGTCACACAAACACACCCAGGCCATCATGGTGATGGAGTGGCTGGGGTCCTACTTGCCCACCCTTCATTGCTGGTTCAGAGCCAGCTGTCTGACCACATTCCTACCCTGAGATGGGACTTTGGGGACATTGTCCACCAGGGTCACTGACCACTTTTAGGGTTCCAGAAACAGAGGACCAGCTGGTCCCCTAGAAGTCTGGAACATGGGATAAGCCAAGGCTTGCCTTCAGAACAGATTTTCCACCACGTAGCCGCCCAAGGCCCAGGGCATCCCCAGGTTCATGTGAAGCCTGCCTGCCATGTCCACAGCCCATGCCGACCCCTCCTGGAGCCACTGGAATGCTTGTTCCTGGGCACGCAACAAACTCAGACAGCTTCAGCCTTGCAAGACAACCATGCAAATCTGGCAGCCGTAGCCGGAGGGGGGACCCATAGAAAGAAGTTGGAGGTGAAGCCAGATGTTATGAGGATACTTTATTAGGCAAAATCGTATACTATAAAAATGCTTTAAAATGCAGGAGGAGGAGGTGAAGACACAAACAAGTGTGTAGTGACACATGGCAGTCAGAACACAGTAAAGAATCCATACTGCTTCCCCCCTTTACCTAGAAAAGGAAAGTTCTAGGCCTCCTCCTCCTCAGCATATTCCTCAAACTCCTCCTCCTCAGCTGTGGCATCCTGATACTGTTGATACTCAGAAACCAGGTCGTTCATGTTGCTCTCCGCCTCCGTAAATTCCATCTCATCCATCCCCTCGCCCGTATACCAATGGAGGAAGGCCTTGCGCCGGAACATTGCTGTAAACTGCTCTGAGACACGCTTGAAGAGCTCCTGGATGGCCGTGTTGTTCCCAATGAAGGTGGCTGACATTTTTAGCCCCCGGGGTGGGATGTCACAGACGGCCGTTTTGACATTGTGGGGGAGCCAGTCAGCGAAGTAGCTGCTGTTCTTATTTTGAATGTTGAACATTTGTTCATCCACCTCCCTCATGGGCATGCGACCCCTGAAAATGGCAGCCGCCGTTAGGTAGCGGCCATGACGGGGGTCACACTGTCTCTTATACACATCTAGATGTGTATAAGAGACAGGGTATACGGTCATCAGTGGTCACCATAATGCAAAAAGAGCCAAGTGTCACATGTGAGGTGACAGGACCATTCGCCCTGCAGGTGAGCAAATGAAACCCCTTCCCCAGAGTTACAGGGCAGCAGCCTCCCTGTTAGAAATTAAGTCAGGAGTCAAACCTGAGACGGGCTAACAGACCTCCCTGCAGGTGGCTCCTGCCCATTTTCAGGGAAGGCAGTAGCCACGGCCCCAGCTCAGCTCCCTGCAGGGAGTTGACATCAGTAGCTCTTCACCTTGAGGAGGCACCTGGGCCTTCCTCCCAAAGCCCGTTTAGGAGGCAGTTGGGGCGACTCCACTGGGAGGATAGGAGGGTGTTCAGAGGCCCTGGCTCCGCAGTTCCCAGGGCGACGACCTTGGGGCACTCCTA